AGTCGCCCAGTTCTGCCGAGGATTTGGGCCTCAGCAAACTGGAGTCTGCCAAAGAGAGTCGGCAGAGTTCTGACCTCAACACGACCTGAAGAAATGATGCTGCCTAAAGCCTCGGAGAGCGTAGCAGCTCGATCCGGCTTATTACCGATCTTTACACTCGCAAGCGAATCATCGGAGGTATCCACAAGAACTCCAAGCATTTCTGTTACGGTGGCAAAAGGTTTCTCTTTGGGCTTTGCCATCTGAAATTGCAGGAGATCCATCAGCGAGTGAACAACGTGATCAGTCGACTGAGAGAGTAAAGTGGGGGCTGCAGCAGGATAATCGTCAAAGTAGCAGCTGGTCAGGACAAGGAGTTCCCACAGAAGCCTTTGGAGGAAGAGCGAAACTCTGTTGAATTGCAGCACCGACGCGGATGCGCCGAACGGCAATGTTTTGCACACGAAGCCACAAGCGGAGCCTCCTGGCTTCTTCAGGACGAGAACCGCCTTCGCTTGCTCGGACGGCCTCAGAGGCAGCTGCTTGTACGCGGATTGAAGATCATAGGCTTTGGTCTGAGGCTTGGAGTGAGCCACGTCTTTCCAACAAGCGTGCACCGGACCACGAAGCCTAGTCCCATCGCTGAGCTCGAGATCAACGGAGCCTGTGTATTTGCAAGCTTTCATGATATACATGCAAACCCATGCGACCTCGTCCAAGGCTTTGAGGGATAGGCGCTCAAAGCATTCAAAGCATGCGTTGACCCCATTCTCACTGAAGTCATCGATGGGCCGCCACTTGCCCTGCCACACAGCGAATCTTCTGCAAGGCATCCAGCCTAGAGGAAAAATCGAGTCCACTTCTGCTCGAGAAAGCGGGCCGTGTAGCCACTGCTTCCCACTAGGGTCTGCCTCCTCAAGAGTGATGTCCCAAAGGGGCTCTGAGTATTCTTGAGGCGGTGCACTGTCTACTCGCTTCCACGTTGCGTCCCTTTGAGCAGACGCTGCCATCCAGAACTCGGACTCAGAAGAAATGGCCGGCTTACAGTCCGGCTCAAAGACGCCCGTCCGGGGTTGGGACCCGGTAAGCTTAAACCCCTGAGTAAGATCATCCCATAAGGTGGTGTCAGGCCAATTAAGGGAGGAGGCGATCCTTTTCATCAAGAGGACACGCTTGTTGCCTAGCACGGCTCGCACGTCAGGGTGAAGGCTTGCACGAAGTTTTTCCTCTTCGGGGGCCAGCTCGGAAGCCCACTTTTGCCAAAGCTTTATGACATTAAGCCGGTGTCTCATGACTCCAACTGGGCCCTGCACGAGGATAAAGTGAAGCACCTTAAGCATGCCATCTGGGAGACCGCGACATGTGTCGAAGGGATGCTTGAGGAGCTTGGCTTCTTTCAAGAAAGTGCTCGGCTCACGATACACTCCGAATGTAAATGATGTGAGCGAGGTGTCTTGCAGATAGGGACCAGGATGCGGCGGGCAATTCGGGCCCCCTGGAACACTGGACCGCAGCAGCTTGGAGCCTAGCGGCACGGATAGCCACGAGGCCGTAAGGCATGACTTATTGTTCAAAGGTGGAACGCGCGGAGCGCGGACCGACACAGTGTAGGCGAACTCGGAGATCAACGGCGGGAACTTCGAAGCACGAGGTTGGGCCTGCGCGGCCGTGCGTGAAGCATGCAATGTCGAGACCGCCTGGGGTGCCAAGAAGAAGCCGCACGAGGCAGAGTGAGCTGCAACGTGTCCTACAAAGGCCTCGCAAAAGGCTTTGGGGTAGCTACCATCCATTCTGAAACCTGAGCCTGGAGGCTTGCCGTGGCTTACACAACCGGGGCAAAGGCCGCCCATGGACTGGAAAACATCTCGGTTGGACACAAGGAGGGTCTTGCGATTGTAGAAGGCCCCGAAGAAGCATGCAGTCAGGGTGACTCGTGACAGAGAGCGTCGAAGCTGAGCAAAGGCTGGCAGTTCCCAAACGGCAGACCCGATGGGATGCTCTACAGAGACACCAACCGACGGAAATGATGCAAGGATTTTCTGAAGCAAAGTGGCAACGTTGTCGAAGATGGCGTTAGCCGCCTGCACGCGGGAGGCTCCGGGCTCTTGCAAGTTGGGCAGACCTCTGGGAGAGGCGAGGCTTCGAAAGACACGCCCAGTCGTACCAGTTGGCAGGGAGAAGTGTATCCAAGCGACAGCCCGATTCTGCAACACATTCTCTAGAAACTGAAGCGTGAGCGATTCTCGCAAGTCGAGGCGAAGCACATGTGCATACGCCCGGGGAACCTTATGTCCTGCATCAATGGGCAGAATGTCGAACCCTGCCTCTCGAGCAACACTTGAAAGGAGGGCTGAGCCCGCGCATACCTCGATGAACAAAGGCTTCTCAAGCAGGTGCGCTTTCCTGGGCTCCTCAGCCAAGCGGACAAGCGAAGGCGAATGAGGGACATGATTGGCAGGTGGCTCGGCACTCGCACGAGGAGGCGCCGCCATGAATCCATCCCCAGGGGATGCAATGCCTGTGTTTGGCTCTCGAACGACCTCTGGAGCCTCAGATGGGCCCGGACCCCTGTCGCGGGGGTCAGCACTGGCCGGCGGGCACAAATCGGAAGGGTTTGGGAGCCTAAACCCCAAAGAGGTTAGGGTCGCAAGCTTATCGCCATCAAGCTCAGTGAAGAACCTAATGCAGAAGGCAACCAAGACAACCCTTGAACCCTTCCACGGCAGAACGAAGTGCGTCAACTTATCTGCACGGAACTTGACACAGTCGCCTACCCACTCCAGCGGGCCTCCGATTACTTCTTTGCCGTCTAGCACCTGCCTCTCGTCGCCATGCCCCTCAACCCAGAGCTCGCCCCCTGAGAAGGTGCTCAAAGGGAAAACGTGATTCTCGCAAGAGTAGTTTTGCAGATCTCTATGCGGCGGTGCAGAGTCCTCGAATAGCACAGTGACTGTGCTGAAAGTGCACTCGGGGGCTTTCGCACGCACGAAGGCGGTGAGAGCAAGCGTCGCAAAAGGATGCAGGCTGCACGTCTTGCGTATGTTCACGGCTCCGCCATGCACGCATGCACCCGTGCTAAAGGACTTGGCAGCTTCATCTCTGGGAGAGGGGCTCATAGGCAGCATGCGTGCCAAAGCGAGCACGTCGTCCTTAGAGGGCAATCCTTTCGCGAGGATCGCAGCGGCAAAGGCCTCAGGCGAGCCAACCTGTGGCCCAGCATGTTTCGTCATCAATTCACTTCTCAGTTGCTCGAACTCAATCAAAAACTCGCTGTTGGGGCATGAACAAGCACTCTGCTGGGCATGCGAAAAACTAATGTTCTGAACAAAGCTCGCACTCGAAATCTCACACAAAGAATCATGAGAAGCTCGCACACGTTTGTGGGAAGCTTCTGGGACTGCCTCTGAGGCAGTCGACAACGCCTTAGAGGCGAATTCTGTGCCCTCTTGTCGGGCCTCGGAAGCACGACAAGGATCGCTGGCACCCCGCTTGCAAGCCGTGACTAGTCACGACTGCTTTGCAGCTTTTGCCCTCTCGGGGCAATCAACCGCTGCATGGCTCTTGCCACACTTGGGCCAGGCGCATATGTGCAAGCCTTTGCTGCACCTCCCCCTGGTCACGACCTCTTGGCACGTTTTCAGGTTGAAGCCATAACAGATGCTTTCGCCGGCATTGGTATGCGAGCGACAACCTTCCAAGCCAGCGGGGAGTCTCGACGAGGCTCGGAACTTGCTCTTTCCTTTTCCCTTGCCCTTGCGCGTGGGCACCCAGTGATCGGTATTCACACCAGTGGGTGTGTAAGGACCTGGCCTGGTGTCCTTGATCTGTGGCGCATGCCCAGAAGGCCTGGGCATCGGCTGCAAGATATGCAGCACTTCTGGGGCCATCCATGTGTCTTCGAAAACGATGTCCAGTGGACGGCCACTGGGAGTGGCCTGAATGCCGGAGCGCGTTCTTTCAGCTAAGAGCTGAAACAACTTCCTGTCTGCAAGCTGTAGCTGATTAAAAGTAGTCTGGACATGTGTCTGAGGCACCTGGTCAAGGCGAGCACACAACAAACGCTCCACCCACTTTGCATGAAGACTGTAGTCAAGCAAGTTTCCCATTTCCATTGCGATTCCTCTCCGAGTAAGGGCGAACTGGAGCAACAACTCGGTGGTCGTCTCCGCCTTCGCGGATTCGCCCTTTTCCGTCTTCAGCCGGCCTGAAGCGTCCACTGACAAGACCGTCTCCTTTTTAGAGCTGCTGGTGACCTCCTGCTCTTTCGACGTGAGACGATCCCACTCAATGAAATGCAGACGATTCTGTTCGTAAAGTGCCACAAAGGCATCCACCAAGCTGTCGGACGGCTCCAACCGATTACGAATGTCCAACCCTGGCAGCCGCTTCGCGATCTTATTGTGCCGCTCTGCCCTTTCGGGCACGCTGAGCCGCCGAGGAGCCGACTCGTCGGTCTGCTCGACCATCGCCTTCATCTCAGCCGTCGTGACAGAGAAGGCCTCGTGAAAAAGCCGTCTGAATGCAGACTTCTGCCCCAGATCCGGATCGGCCCCCAGAGCATCCTTCAGTGCACGAATCAACTCCGCATCGTCCCCCGAGCCCGGGGTGTAAGAGCAGCAGAAAGCCACCTTAGCAAGGGTCGTGATCCCTTGAGCCTTGAGCTTGGCGATATCGGCCTCCGCCAATCCAACCTTCAGGCATCGTGATGCAAAGACGGGCTCGGATTCAGAAAAGGAAGCCATGGCGAGAAACTTCGGCGCTCCAGTTCAGGAGCGATCCGGCCCCTCACTTGAGGTGTGACTCGACGCGGGCGACGAGCTCAGCAATCTTGCTTACATTGTTCTAATTCAACGCGATGATTGGGCTCACCGCAACTTGCAGGACACTACTCCACTCAAGCTTGGACTTGCAGGGCTAGCGGACTCTCTTGCACGGCACGCTTTCTCTGGACGTATCTCGCAGCGATAATCTATGCTCAAAAAGGCCACCTGCCGCTCCGCGGTCATGTCTTGCAAAAGTACTTAGGCCTGCAGCATAGAGCGGAAGCATTGCTTGCACCGAGGATACAAAACTCTTGGCATGTCAACCAAGTTCTCATATGCAGCCGTAATGGTGCGCCCACATTTGAAGGTAGTTCCACCTTCCTCTGCGAGCAAGTGCAAGACTCTAGATAAAGTGTGTCTATAAAACTGAGGGGACTCACCAAGCTTCGCCAAGTCGACTCTGCCATGCCAACGTCCCAGGGCCTCAGCTTCGGCAGCCTCGTCGAGCTCTCGGTCTGGGTGCTCCTCATCGGCACTGTCCTCCGAGCTAGACACCATGTCTCCTACTCCGCACTCATCTTCAGGGGCTGCTGCCGGCGCGGCAGCAGCATCGGCGTCCTGAAACTGCTCTCCTCTTGGAGCGTCCGGCCTGAAGGATCGCTGGCGAATCTTTCCAAGCACGGTGTCAAGGGACCTGAGTGGGGCCGCTTGGGAGTCTGACTCGTAAAGCAACTCCGTTCCAATGCCAGCACGAGGAGAAACATGGTATCCCAAAATGCACCTGACATCCCTAGGGATCCCCCATTTGCTGCACCAGCTCAATGTGGTCCGCTTACAAGAATGTGTCCCGATCGAAGTGGCCCTGAAGCCGGAAACCCCCAGGAGGCTCCTCAACCAATTGTTTGCTTGATCGCACGGGAGTGGGCTATCGCTCCAGGTTCCATGGCTCCGCGGAGCCGGGAGCAGAGGCCTGTTGTTCCCAGGAGGTTATGCCTTCTGAGGCGAGGAGACCGAACCAGACTCGGCCCCAGCCGGAGCCCAGGATGCCCTCAGCATTTGCAGTGACAGGAAGGAGCCGCGTCTTCCTTTCCAGCGACATGCTGGATTTCGAGCGCGCAACCTCCGCCTCAAGGTACTTGCCACACGCAGAAAGCTTAAGTCGAGTGACACGCTGCCCATCGCTGTATCTAGCCCTGCCGAAAGTCAGAAACAAAAAGTAGCCAGCTGCAACGCGGTCAGGCTTACCTCTTTCTTCATCAAGCACTTGCTTTTCGAGCCTCTCAACCTCGGCAACAAGGAGCGGCTCCCTCTGGCACAGGGGTCTCTTGTCCATGTAAGCTTTAGCCGATAGGCCGACAATCCTGCCCGACATGAGCACTGCATCGGCCGACCCTAGCCCGACCACAAACTTCGCGAAGCCCACCGAAGACAGAAAACTCCTGAAGGCTGTGGGGGCCGCGGCTGCCGCGGTCGTCACGAAGTAGTGATGCACAACAGGCTCGGTGAGCGGCAAGGCAACAACACCTTGCTTCGTGGTCCACAAGATGAACCTGAGGAAGTGGTTGGCACGCGTATGCAAGGTACTGGATGCCTTGGTGGACATGCACTCTGCTATGCTATGCGAGAGAGAACCCGAGCCGAACCCCAAAGTCCTGGATTCAAAGTAGTTCCTGGCCACCATGAAGCACATGGGGGCCTTAAGCACTATCTGCAACCACTTGTTGATGGCAAGGTTGCGATCCTCGTCCTGGAGTTTCGGCCACGGCTTCTTGATGGCATCACCATATTTAATCATTTTTTCATGCAACTGGTCAAGCTTAAGTTTCTTACACTCAGGCTCACCGGGCTGAGAACCCGCTGCGATAGCATTCTCTTCGGCAAAGATAGTCAAAGGCATCGGGCCTTTAGGGCGTAATGGCTTCGGTGCGGGCTCATGAGACAGCAACCCTGCCTCCCAAGGCTGCTTCCAAACTGATCTGTGCGAAGATGAGCATGACAGCAAATGCGACTCAAATGCATCTCCGGAAGCCATTGAGCCTATGCAGTAGCACTTGACCGAGGCTTCTCACCCCACTCACAAACCGAGGAAGAGGGGCTACTGATAAAAGAGACGCTCGAGGCGGCGGCGCGAAAGCACGGCCGACTGCAGGAGGTGTACCTGCACTCTGCGAGCCTCGCGATTGGCGCAGAACAGGGGCCCTGAAGATTCGAAGCGAAGGCTGAGAAGTAATAAGGAGCAAGACTGCGTAGCTCCTAGCAAAGCGGGGACGGAAGGATCCCGAATCTCGCTCTCCCAACCCCGCACTTTGAGGCCCTGCACCAATAGCAGCGTGACGAGGCGACGAGCAGGCACAGGCGGCTCGCCCCTCTCCATCCGACCCCCTCACCGAGGAGGGGTCTTGACGGCCTACAACGTCAGAGAAGTTGAGGCCCGGGGGGCTGTTGCAGTTAAAGGCCCACAGCCCACAAAAATTTTCCTTTCGGCTCTCTGAGAGCCGCGATGCTGCACACACACGAATAGATTGTGCATCAAGCAGGAAAATTTTCCAATGGTTGAAACATGAAAACTTGCTCGTTGAAACAACTGTAAACATTTGATTGAAAAATTGCTGACTTAGCGAAAACAAAGAGTTTTCGCAAATTAACTTCAGCTATAAAGCTTTGTCGTACAAGTACGAAAGCTTGCTTGTTCATGGTATACTTGGGGGCAATGTATTGCAGCTGGCGTCTTGCGCCCTGCACCTGGAAGCGTGCAAACTGACACAACTGGAACATGCGCAAAGCCGCGGTCTTCTCAACTGCTGTTTGTACACAACCAAGGCTTACCATTGAAATCCCATTGACAAATCTGACAAATCAAACCAATCTATCGCGGAGTCGCGGTTGGGAAGAAAACTCAACACTTGCAGGGTAAGACACCACGCTCAAGCAGGAACTCTTCCCGTGGATGCAAAGCTAGGGATGCATGGTTACGGGGCTCCGCACCCGAACTACATGTGCCAAATGCAGCAGGCACATGTCTATCAAACAAGCACGTGCGTACTTTTGCAGGCACAATCTTCGGAAAAGCAACGACGGTGGACCGCACGAAAACGCACGACGACCAAGAGCCCCGGGCAGGCAGGAGTGCTACAAGCCAAAGGCAACATGCCCACGCAGAAGCCCCCGGCCTGCACTCGTTTTGCCGGAACCCCACTGCTCTCAAAGGTCCGCGTGCTAAAGGCAACTACTAAGAACCAGGGGTTGACTCCCTTGACTCCGCACGGACACAGTAACCTGAAAGTCGAGCCTCAAACAAAAGCAACCGCAACCTGGACAGCGCAAAGCGAGCGCAAAACAGGCTGACACCCCCCCCATCTCGAGCCTAGGATTGACACCCCGTTCTGAAGCATCGGCAAAACACGAAGAGCAACCAGATTTGCCTGAACATGAAGCAGCCAAGAGCCCCTCCCGCTCCCCAAAGTGCAAGCCAACACTGAAGCTTAACGACGAGCTGATCCTTGCTGAAAGGAGAGCAGCACCCCAAAAAGCAACAACGGTGGACCGCACGAAAACGCACAACGACCAAGAGCCCCGGGCAGGCAGGAGTGCCAGGCAACATGCCCACGCAGAAGCCCCCACCCTGCACTCGTCTTGCCGGAACCCCACTGCTCTTCAAGGTCCGCGTGCTAAAGGCAAACACTAAGAACGCAGGGTTGACTCCCTTGACCCCCCCTCACGGACGCAGTAAGCTGAAAGTCGAGCCTCAAACAAAAACAACCGCAACCTGGAGAGCGAGCGCAAAGCGAGCGCAAAACAGGCTGACCCCCCCCCCACCTCGAGCTTAGGACTGACACCCCGTTCTGAAGCGTCGGCAAAACACGAAGGGCAACTGGATTTGCCTGAACCTGAAGCAGCCAAGAGCCCCTCCCGCTCCCCGAAGTGCTGCAAGCCAACACAGTGAAGCGCGAAACGCTGGCCCACTTAGTGCAAAAGCCGAGCATCGACACAAGCACACATGAAGCTTCACCTGGTGCCCTGTGACCGGCTGCCCTGCAAAACGCTGGCGTCTCGGGCCCTGCCCGACCCCGACAAATCAAGAAAGACAACTGCGACAGCACGGCGACCAAGCACACAAACACAGATACCGTAACTGAGCCTCATGCGCAAAAACAACTGCAGCCTGAGAGCAACGCAGACCCTCACCTTTAGCCTCACTGCCAGCACCAACACCCGGTAAAACACGAGTGAAACCTGAAGCAGCCAAGAGCCCTCTGCTCCGAAAGCCCCTCCCGCTCCCCGAACTGCTGCAAGCCAACACAGTGAAGACAGCTTAACGACGAGGGGCTGAGTGGAATGCAGTACCCCAACAAGCAACAACGGTGGACCCCACGAAAACGCACAACGACCAAGAGCCCCGGGCAGGCAGGAGTGCTACAAACCAAAGGCAACATGCCCACGCAGAAGCCCCCGGCCTGCACTCGTCTTGCCGGAACCCCACTGCTCGGCAAGATCCGCGTGCTAGAGGCAGGCACGACGAACCCAGGGTTGACTCCCCCCCAACGGACACAGTAGCCTGAAAGTCGAGCCTCAAACAAAAGCGACCGCAACTTGGAGAGCGCAAAGCGAGCGCAAAACAGGCTGACCCCCCCACCTCGAGCCTAGGATTGACCCCCCGTTCTTGAAGCATCGGCAAAACACGAGGAGCAACTAGTTTTGCATGAACCTGAAGCAGCCAAGAGCCCTCTGCTCAGAAAGCCCCTCCGCTCCCCCGGAACTGCTGGAAGCCAACACAGTGGAGACAGCTTAACCACAAGGAGATCTTGAGAGGAAAGCCGCACCCCAAAACGCAACAACGATGGACCGCACGACAACGCAAGACGACATGCAGGAGTGCTACAAACCAAAGGCAACATGCTCACGCAGAAGCCCCCACCCTACACTTGTCTTCCGGAAACCCACTGCTCTTCAAGGTCCGCATGCTACAGGCAAGCACGAAGAACCCAGGGTTGTCCTTGAGCCCCCCTCACGGACACATTCCACAGATTGGTCTTCGGGATCGACAGGCCGGTATCCGCAGCCAATGCTCTCGTCACCGCTGCTTCCACTATCAAAGCAATGTCTTTCGGAACGGCTTCAACCTGAAGGCAACAACACAAGTAACTGACGCTAGATACGTTTGCTGATGTTTGCTGGCCCAACACAAGCAACGACACGTACAAGCAGAGTTAACAACAAGAAACAACCACACGAATGCTCCTCTCTGCAACCTCTCACGAAAAGCCTCATGCTAAACGCTGCTGTTCAAGCCGGATCGTCCGTGCACTGAAGACGCCAAGAACAAACCGAGAAGGCAGTGTGTGGACAGCTCAACGAAGAGGGGATCCTATGAGATTCCGGTCTGACACGAAAGGCACGAAACCGACGAAACCCATGATGTCACGAGCCAGCTCTGTTCAAGGCCCCGGCCTGGAGTCCGCTCGCTGCCGTCGGCGGGGCAGACACAGCAGCGATGCGCTCGGCCAGGACTGCAGATGGGCCGAGGCGAATGCCAACCTTTTGCATCTTCTCCGCAGTCAACTTTAGGAGCGCGGTGCCCATGACATCTTCGGACTTCAAAATCTCCGTGATCTCCTGCACCTTGTGCGCGTAGTTATCCGCTTCCAAGGCCGCCCGGACCCAAGAACTGACCTGCCATCCATGCTCGCAGACCCGAAGCTGAAGCAAGAGACATGCAAAGCGCCTCGTCCACGCCAAACTGCCGGATCTGCTCAGCTGTTTTTTGCAGCCACTGGGCCTGCGCCAATGGGCACAGCCTAAGCGATGCTCCAGAGTCGGCGAGCCTTCACGGAGCCCGCCTGATCGAAGCCTGCTTTGGCCTGCAGGAGCCACGCAGACATGCGAAGCCCGCACCAGCAAAAACACAAGCTCCCTGAAAGTGCCTGGGTCGTCGCCTCTTCCACCTCTTCCTTTGCTGAAGAAGCCTCCAAACATGGACTGACCCGAAAAGACATGTGCTGCTGGCAGAGTTGAGCGTTTGGAGCACCTATACATCATAAGCACCAGACAAGTTGAAGCGGGTCAGAAAGGCAAAACATGGCAAAACCTGCTTTTGGGGCCTGGAGTCGCAAAGTGCTGGCACGAACACAAGCTGACTGACACCCCGAACACCTCAAGCACCAAGGACATGAGTGCACGCCTTCTTCCCGGTAATCCCCTGCTTGGCATCTTCGACCGTTTCAGCGGTCTGTGATGGGACAGCCTGCTTTAGTAGCATGCTTTAGCGTGAGTCACAAGTAACGCAACACGACAAACCCTTTTCTCTTCGTTGTCTTCGGCCTCACCACCATCCAAAGTGCCATCAGCCTCAGCTCTGCAGGACATAAGCTTAACAGTGAACTTCTCTCGGTCTCGGCTTCCCGCCTCAGCCCTGCGTGCAACGAGCAAGCTGCGTGCCCATATTCCTGCAGGAACCGACCTCGCTCTGGCTTGCGGATTTTGGGACTCCATGCCATACATCACATCCCACCTTGGAAACGGCACGGCCCCAGCTCCAAGCAAAGCCCTCGCCGTCTGCGTTGCTTGCCTGAAGCTGCTCGCGAACACCTCCTCTGACACTGTTCAAAGCGCCGGTCTTAGGCTCTGGCTGACACGTCAAGAACAGCGCCAGTAGCACCAGCATACGCCTGAGCTTGCGTGATGTTGCTGGAGGCCGGCTCATGGCGGCAATCGTCCTAGCTGTCCTCTTGCTTGAGCAAAAGCACTGCAATCTCCACCTTTTTCAGTTTGACTGCTGGTTCATCCCTCCAAGCCATTATTTTCACTGGGTGAGTTACCTCACGTATGCTTTGTTAGCCACTTCGCTTGTCTTCTTGCTGTTGCTGAATCAAAACAATCGTGACCTGTTTCCGCTCGGACACGCTTGCCAGCGCATCACAGATCGGCCCTGCGTGAGAATTTGTGTTGTGGTTCGTTACAAACATGACAACGTGCATATGCTTTCCTTCGGTGAGAATGTCTTGATTCATCCTGTCCGCGACCGTGTAGCATGCCAAGTGTTTAGGTTGCAACCAACTGCAATTCAACATGCGCAGCAATTGCAAGTGTGGCCTGGCGTGCCCAGGCGGCTGCAAGATGACCCAAAAGTGCCTACAGCGCGAAACGGATGCTGGCAATCGAAGATGCAACATCACGGCTCCCAGGACTGCCTACAAGCACGAGACAGAAACCCTACATCCTACCGAGGCATGTTGGGGGACGCCCGCACTGCAACGACTCCTACAATTGGAGGCGTGCAAGTGAGCCTCGTCCGGGAACTCGATAGATGTTGTGTGCACCTGCCAGGTTGCAAGGCCCAAAAATCCCTGTTCAAAGCAACTGACCTTCCGTTCGTTGGTATCTAACCTTCTGACCTTTTCGTTTTGGGAGCCTTAAGGGGCTTTGAAAGCAGGATTTAAAGTGAGCATTGAAGACCATGAACAGTGAACAGTGGACAGCAACAGCAGCAAAAGCCGGAGCAGCAACAGCAGGAACAGATTGCAAGTTGGACTGGGGTGGGGCAGGGCAGGCTCATCAACGATGTCATGAATATATTGTTGCCAGAGGGAATATACACGACACTGTCCACCGTCCATTGTTCTACGTCTACCACTACTACTACTACTACTACTACTACTACTACTACTACTACTACTACTACTACTACTACTACTACTACTACTACTACTACTACTACTGCTGCTACTACTGCTACCGCTACTACTACTACTACTACTACTACTACTACTCCTGTGCACAGGGAAGACCCCACCCAAGATGCAGCTATACTCAGTTGCAATCAAAACAATGGCGCTTTTTTTGCTCTCAGTTCTGCTCTGCCAGCTTCTTCTTCACGGGGCGGAAGAGAACAACGTTGCCTGCGTGCAATCCACGCAGCTTGCAAACCAGTAGTTGTGGTAGTAGTGGTAGTAGTGTAGTAGTCAGTGGCAAAACAGCATCCGGCCGCAGTCCAGTAGTTCATTGGTGCCAAAGCCATCGAGAGCCCGACCTGGCTCGCAACATTGCATGGGAACACATTGTTGAAAGCATCACTCGGGCACAGACTGTGATGCATCATGCTGGTTCGTCCTTTTCTCTTCAGGTCCTGCAAGCACCAGGGCTGATCAACACAATTGAGAAAAAACAGCACGAGTCCTTCTCATCTTTCGCCGGCTGAACACGGCGAATCCAACGTGGCGTTTGTGTGCTCACCGTTCGAGTTGAACATGCATCAACATCATCTGTAGCCTCCACGTCCACATGACAAAAAGGCGAGTCTTCTTCTGACACTGGCTGGTCTCGCGATTCTGCTTCTTGCTCTTTGGCATTTTCAGCCTTGTTCTTCGTCCATTGTGCCCATCCCGACTTACCAGATCTGCCACTCCGATTGCTGGCGGGTTTTTTGGCAATCTTGGGCTTGTTTCTTAGGTTCTTGGACTTTCTATTGACCTTCCGGCCCATTCTCCACAAACAGTGGACAATGGACAGTGGACAATGGACAGTGGACAATGGACTCGTGTTGTCGTTGTCCGTTCCGCAATGCTGCTGCCCAACAATATCAGTGGACAGTGAGTGGACACTGCACGTTGGATGAACTAGTGCTGTCCGTTCTGCAATGCTACTGCCCTGAATTTGCAGACTCTGCACTACATTGATATTCATGATTATGAAGAACATGATGCTGATGCCACATTCTCTCTCTAAAGCTTGAGCACAGAACACTGCATGCTCCAGAAACTTGTCATATGTTCTGTCCAGAGGCCCCAAATGCAAACATTACCAGAAAAGCAACTGCTTTATGTGAAAGTCGAACATGTAGTAATGTAGTATTACTACAACATCAGCGTGCACACACGTGGCAGCGTCCATGCACACACAGCACTGCGCGCGCACTGCGCGCACACTGCGCGCGCACATAGCGCGCGCATAGCGCGCGCACAGCGCGTGCACTCTTTCACAGAAGCCCGTGCAGCTTCTGCGCCACAGTGCGCGCGCACAGCGCGCGCACACACGATATATGCGCGCGCGCTTCTGCGTGACAGCGCGCGCGACTGCTGCTGCTGGCAACAGTGGACAGTGGACAGAGTCTGAGCTCGTTGAGGTAGGACCCCAGCACCTGCAGGCCAACACTGTCACTCGCAGTGGTCCACAAACTAGCTTACTAGGCCCGGAATCCCTCCCCCACAATTAAAAAGGTCGCGAATTAACCGACCCCTCCATCGGTTAATTCGCCTTTCCCCACCTATTTGCCCTCACCCACACCCACTGTACTGTTCACTGTGCACTGTCCACTGTGGTATGATGGCGAAATAGCAGGCTTGCCCAGGTCATTTTTCTCAGACGCAAAGAGCATGTTGAAAACCCCGGCTCTTGCGGCAAGTTGCTGGTGCCAACTGTTAATTTCCTGCCGTCTGGCAAAACTGGAAACTTGCCAGTCTCATGGATGCTTTGTCACCGTCACTCGTCTCAGTGGACAGGTGACAGTGAACAATGGACAGTGTTGTAGTAGGGCAATTATACGGCGTGTGATCCATGGGTAGTAGGGCAATTACGGCGTGTGATCCATGGACATCGCACACAAGCGGTTCAACCGCTGCACGAGCAGTGATACTGCTCAGGAAAACATGAGTCCAGGCGGCAGCGCTCATAGCCATCAAGGTACTGCTCGAAATAGACCATCCCGCACCACACACATATTTCCGTCATCTGCATCAGTTTCACTGATATGCGAACTTCTCCCAGCTCTTCATCAAGCAGCACACTCAATTCCTTCGCCAAGTCTTCAGCAGAAGCGGTCTCAGTCTCGCCCTCGGCGGAAACGGACATGAGCTCCAGGTTCTCGAGCTCCCTTTGAACATCCTCGACCTCGGAGTCGCTCTCCGATGCCGGCGAGAGGATTTCAGTAGGGGTTTCGTCCATGGCGGCGACGACAGTCGACAATGGACAGTGGACGTCCATGGCAGTGTCGACAGTCGACAATGGACAGGACAGTGGACTCAGTTCTGGAGCCAAAATTTACAGCGACAGCCTCCGTGGCAGCCAACAACAAAAGTTCATGTGCAGTTCTGGCAGTGCAGCTACTAATTACTACTATTGTCTGTGCTAACAAGCATCATCATGGCAATTCACAATACAAACAAGCAATCAATAGCAGGAGCAGCAGCAGCAGCACCAGCAGCAGCACCCCCTTCAAGGACCTGCACACGCAGGTGCTGAGCACTGTTTTAACCCACCGCAAACCTTCGGCTCATGCCTCTAATTTGTCAGGAGCAGCTTCCAGCGAGCAAATCTCACAAGCAGCGCTTCCAGCTGCTGCACGGAATTTGGAAACTTTGCTTCCTCTGCCTCTTGCTAACAGGGGCCGAACTGGCAGGTGCACTTGGCCGCTTCCACTGTGCCCCAGCTGCCTTCTGCCTCTTGGCATCAGGATCGGAACTGGAAGTTGAACTTGGCCGCTTCCACACTGACTTCGTGCTGGTGTGCTTCTGCACAGGGACAGGCGACAGTGGACAGTGGACTCTTGGAAGCATGGCATGAGCCTGTGCTGCTCGAACCAGTTGTGCACAATCCAATTTCCCAGCTTCCGGGGGTAGGACTGGCTCTCCTTCAGAAGCTTCCGATCGCCAGTCCTTCCTCCATGCTCATCTTCCTTGACCATGGATTTATGAATCCCGTCACGGCATGTGCAGTTCTGCTGCAAACTCTTCACCCATGTCTCACCAACAAACTTGTAGCGTTTCAGGAACCTCTCGCCTTCGGGAGCATCCACCTGGAAATGGCACCTGGCACAGGTGGCGGAACAATGGTGGAAAACGCTGAGGACCTTGGCGAGGGGCTTGTACCTGAACATGATGCTGCCCGCTGGCTGTTCAATGACAGGGTGGACCCCACGCAACATTGCGAGGGCATACAGAAAAGCTGCAATGCTGGCCATGCGATTGCCTTCCTTCACAGGCGGGTACGCAGTGTTACCTGCTGGGCGGTTGACAGTACGTTGGCATTTCACAGAGTTCATGAACACAAAGCTGCTGCAGACGGGCGCCATCCACAGCAGGCCACCTTCGTCGATCTGCAAGACCGCCTTCAACGCATTCTGAAAGCCACGTTTGGTCAAGATGTTCTCTGTGTCATCCGACGCGTCATCATCGGTCACTCCCTGGATCCGGTCCTTGTCCATGGCGAGCTGTCGATAGCCAGCCTTCTCGGCAGCCATTGCAACGGACGCCACGCCGCACCACAGCTCCACAACAGCCAGTGGACGAGCGACAGTGGACAGTGAAGACCGAAGAGCCATACCCAAAGTGATGCCGAACACTTGCATGTTGACCAAAGCGGTGGGGACTGCCATGGCAAGGCTTGCAGCACTAAATGCAGGCTGGAAGAACCCCAAGACTGCGAAACTCATGAGGTTGGCTGAAGACAAAAGCACTTGATAGCTGGCTAACACTTTCACTCACAGGCACCTGAGAAAGAGATCATTTTAGCGCAGCTTGACACACCCCTCAAGCCTGCAGCCGCACTGGCAATGATCATGAGCACTGCCAGGACTGACTGCAATAACCCGGACAGTGCACAGTGGACAGCTGACAGTGACACCAACGGCAGGCATCACTCATCACGCTGCACAAGGCACGCAAACCCCATAAAAATGATAAACACTCAGTCCATGATGCTTTTGCAAAA